GAGGTGTCATTACGTATATCTCGAAAAGTTATATTAAATAAAAAAAATCATCTTATTTGAATTCCTGAGTCAAAATTTCTGGTATTCCAATTTTTTTTTATAACAAGACTGCCTAGAGTAACGTGATTGTGTCACTTGGCACAATAATGTAAGTGCTCGAGAGGGGGGGTTGCAACACTCGTTTAAAAAAAAATTGTGTAAGTGCTCGAGAGGAGGTCGCGGTACTAAAAGACCCCAATTATAAATATCAAAAATTAAATACCAGATAAAAAATTTAAAAGAATAAATATTTCTTTTTGGTCAAAGAGGTTGAAACTCTACGAAGGGTTTCATTATCATTAATGGATGGCTCCGTGATTTATATATATAAAATTTGGGTAATATTACTCCCATGTAACATGAGAGTAGTTCTCTCATGTTACAGAGAGAATCCAAGTAGGGCCCGCTATTTAAAAGCAAAAAAGAAAAAGAAAAAAGAAGGGGCACGATTTTCGAAGTGAGAGAAAAGGAGATAAAATGAGAGTAGTATTTCCCATAAAACTTTTCATGCTTCTCAAATATTTAAATATTTCAAAATCAAGATTGAATATTATTACCATTTCTAGTAAAAAAATTCATACGTTTATTTATGATAATTAAATGTGAATCAAACGTATAAAAAATGATGGATATGGTGAATAAAAATGGATATACAATCCAACCACGGAACCACCCGAAAAAAAAAGGTTGATGTACATGATAGGTTATCGAACAGGGAAGGCGCTGACATACATTTGGTGAAAGGTTGTTTGGAAGGCGCATGAAATGGGAAGTTTTGTCCGTGGAATAGGAGTGTCGTAGTGGGGGGGTTGATGGAAGGGAAAACGTGGCTTGTTACGAAGACACACACACATAGATAGACACATTAGGAGTGGGGTTCCACCTTTTCTTTCGCAAGTACTTACGAGCTTGGTCCTATTGCAAATGACAACGGCAATTACAGGCGCAGCCTGCAGTGACTTTTTGGGGTTTGCAGGTTTAAAGGTCCTGTCTCTCTCTCCATTTTTATTGACAACTTTACCATTACCATTCCTTCTTATCACCACTGCACCCTCCTCACTTGTATGTATATTTGTGAATTGAAAATGATGCATTGTAACTTAGAGATTTTGTATTTGCTTGTTCTTTAAAAACAACGATGTTTCGCTTTAATTTTCTTTTAAAAAAAATATGCATGACCCGATCGGATTAACAAAAACTGATCGATTAATTGATTCTAATAAAATCCGACCAAGTCAAACTGGTTCTCACCGGGTCATATGCATGATCAGCCCGTTAGCTAACTCGAACCAATTAAGTTATTGGTTTACTGGTTTTTGGATCAGATCGAGTTTAATAACATTGGATCAAACACTCTCCTTTCACATTTTTCCACGATGCACAAACCAACATATTTGTTTTCGGATTTAATTTGTGTTCGGTTAACTCATTTAAATTCGTATGTGTTAATATTGATAAAATTTCATATACAAAAGTTTGTCTCTTGAACATGCAAATATAAATTTGATTTACATTTTTTAACAATTAAAGTTTTGACGAGTATAAATTTGTAATAGTTTTTGTAATTGCATTTTTGTTTTATTATGTCAACCCGCATAAATAACTAATAGTATCAATATTGAAAACTCATAAATTTTATTTTGAGTTATTCGTATTGTCTCATGTTGAGTTTCAAAATTTACGAGTTGTGTTTTTATCAAAAAATATTGACACTCATAAAAACTTGTGCCGTATTTGTATTTATGTTAAATTTATATCATATCGTATCAACTACTAAAAAAATTATATCATCTTGTATTTGAGTTGTCATCTTAATTTTAACACATAATCTCATCCCTTATAAATAAATAAATAGGTACACTCACAAGCATTGTTGTCAAAAACTCATGTTTTTATATTTTTACTAAGGTAATACGTATTAAAACGCAAGTAAAAACTCATCTTAATAAAAACTACGTGTAAAAGCATAAAAAAGATAGAAACACAAATTTTTACGTTTTTACTAAACCAAAAACCCGAACCAGGTCAACTTTTAACGCATGACTTGGTTTTATTTTTATTTTCAATAAAAAATAAAATAAACCTATTTTCATTTCCCTCAAATCAAATGCACAATATTTTCTTCTAACTATTTGGAAAAAAAAACCCTCATGCGAGGCCGTTGTATTTCCATTTAAATATGAAGTTTTTCATTGAATTTTGAGTAGTGACTTATGTGATAATTTTTTTACATGCATATATATATATATATATATATATATATATATATATATATATATATATATATATAATTTTGTATCTTGACCTTAAGTAGTAAGAACTTTATGTTTCGTGTCGTTTTTTCGACCCTTCTGTTTTTACGTAGAAACTCGATTTTAACAACATTGCTCACTCTGTCTCTCTCACACACACATAAAATTGTTGATTTGATTTTAGTTAAACAACCATAAAAGTGATTATAAGAGATTGCAAATTTTTTTTTTATAAATATAACCTCTCTATATATTTATTTATTTGGGTGTACATATTCATATTAAAAATATAAAGGTTTTGAATTCGTATTCAATAGCAAAATTATACTTTTTTAAAAGGGAAAAGATTATATTTACCACCAATTAAGTTTACAATTTTTTAATATCAAATCTTATCCATTGATTTTCGTCAATCTGATAGCTATAATTCATTGGGAATTAGTAATTAATTAATAATTATCATTCAATAAATTATAACCGTCAGATTGATAGAAATCAATGATTAAAATTTAATTGTAAGAAATGATAAACTTAATTGATGGTAATTATAACCTTCCTCTTTTAAATATTCATAAACTTAAAATTTATATATACTTTTAATCACTCTCGTCTTATACTAGTAGTTGTGAGCTATGATGCACAGACACTGACGGGACACGACACGACACATCGACACGTTAGTTCTAAAAAATGGCATATTTCGACACGTTGGGACACGTTTTGATATTAAATAATATTTTTAATATATATAATATAATTTATATTTAATACATATAACAGTTCATAATAAATCATATAACCAATCAAATATTCAAATTTCATAATATAAATATAAAAAAAATAATTTTTCGTATTAAGTTAATTTTTCATGTCAAATTTCGTAACAGAAAAAAATTGATATATAAATGTTTTTTTTATTTTTAATTAATAAAATAAAATTAATACTAAAAAAAAGTGTCAAAACGTATCCGAACGTTGACCACGTGTTGAAAAAAGTTAACTGCGTGTCAAAACAACGTGTCAGAACAAGTCAAAAAATTGTCCACGTGTCTCAAAGTGTCAAAACATGTCAGAGCTTGTCCGTTTCGAACACGTGTCCGACACGCCATTTTTCAAACAAGAAAAAATGCGTATCCGGGTATTGTAGGTTGTGAGAGACGGGAAGAATCTTGAATCCAAACTATTTTCAGTTTTACTGAAAACAGAAACAAATCATTTTAATAATATCGTTCTAATAACGAACAGGTTACTACAATGATGCAGTTTACTTTGACCCATAATGTTATGATGATTTAATAAATAAATGAAGAGTTTTATTAATCTCATGTTAAAGGAGATAAGTTATTTCATGTCATAGAAACAAATTTGTAGCTCCACCACCTGAAAAAAAAAAAAAAAAATGACACAATTATCGAAGAGTATGTAAGAAAAATATTGTCACATGTAACAGTTTTTCCCATAAATGAATAGGGTACACACAAATACATATATCTGCGATGCCCATTGAGCAGGATTTCACGAACAATAATGTTGCGTGTAGTGTGACCAAGAAGATTTGACAACATCTGACGAAACGCTAAGAAAGTGTTGTCTATATGCCCCAAGAATCCTCTAAGAATCACAAATACTAATTATGCAGTCCCTACAATTGCTATCAGCGTCGCAGACAGACTACACATTGAAGCAATAAGGAGTAAAAAAAATCACATGCTCGTGTTGTTTGGGCATATGAACGTTTCATGGGGACTCATGGTTGCTGTGGCTGAAATCAGCAAAGTATCTAAGCTGGAGCCCTCAAACTTTATAATGGGCCTATACTGCAAGGCCCACCAAAACAAGTCATCATTAGCCTGCTGCCAAACCCTACTCCACCATAACTATTAGACAGGACTAAACAAATTTAGAAATTCTTACTTACACTCGCCCTAATAATTCTTTTTTTAAAAAAATTATTAATAGGGAAGATTATTTTTATAATAAGAAATATCACATCAAATTTTAGTTATTAATTTATTGAAAAAAAGACTTCTTTTTTTCCAACATCCTTATTTTGGTGTCCGTACTAGTCATTGTTCTATTTTTTTTTTTTCAAAGTAGGTCTCACTCCTTTCTCTTTTTTTAGGAAAGCTCCAACGGCTCATGCAAATTTATTTGTATCTAATAATTCAAATATTTAATACATTAAAATTGTTAGATATAAATATGATCAATAATTAAGATTAAAAATATAAAATCATCACAATCCTTATTAAATTTTAATTGGTTAAGAAAAAATATTGGCAAGAATCTCTCAAATAAGTTTCTTTGTTTGTGATTTCAAATTTGAAGAGTTGTTTGCACTAAAATAAAAATAAAAATTTGAAGTGTTGTTGTTTGGCCACTGTCGCTGCAGGGGTGGTGGGCTCCGCTATAGTGTGTGTACGCTTGAAAATTTTCAATTTCCTGATTCCACTAGTAAATAAATTAAAAAAAGAAAAAAGAAACCAAAGGAAAGACATGCCATGAAATGTGAAACATAATGCCACATGCCTTGTCTTGGAGCATCCATTCTTTTGTACTTCTTTTTCCTGACTCATGAAAGTTGAAAGCAACCAACAGCCTGTCCTTTATTACCCATCCAACTTTCCTTTCTCTCTCAAGCTATACATACATATTTGGCAAAATTAAATATTAAAATATTTAGTTCAACTTGTAAGAAGGATCATATCATCCAGTCTCCTTTTGCCCTTCATTGGTCTCTCTCTCTCTCTCTCTCTTTCCTCCTTGTTGAGTATCAACTTCCAATACATTATCCATTCTCCTTTGTGCACAAATCCACAATTTCTTATTCTTTTAAGTGGCTAACAGGTATGGTTTTTGGGATTCTCTCTCACCTCTCATTTAAAAAAAAATAAAAAAATTTAAGAAATAAAAATAATAGTTTCATAATTTTACTATTCACTCCATTGGGTACTCACGAAATCCATGTCAGGCACCGAGTGGTGGGTGAAGGAAGAAGTAAGCATCCTTCTGCTACAATTGTCTGCAAGTACTCTCTTCCTTCTTTCAATGCCTATTTATTTATTTTATTTTATTTATTTTTGTGCTTGTAGCTGCTTCCTTCATTATATCCTGTTGGGTAACCTTTTAAAATTTTAGGTTCCAGTTTCCTTGGAACTCTTTGCTATTTGACTTCTGACTAGTTAAGTCTTTAATTAAGCATATTTAACCCCCTGATGCATATTTTAGTCTTCGGTTTCTACAAACTAAAGCGTTGCTCACTGCTTAATTTTTTATTGCCTTTCATGCAATTGTGAATCATAATGGAATAACATACATAAAAGTTAACCAACCAAAGTTGTACTTTGATGAAGCAGAGCTAAAAAGTGATTTATTTATTTATTTGTTGTTGTTGTCATGGACTGGAATTTGAAAGCATTTGGCAACCTAACCCAACATAGAAACATTGGATGAGTGAAGCAGATTTGGAGTTTATAAAATGAAAGGGGAATTTTCTGTTGACTTGAAGCTTGGTCAAGTGGGGAATTCTGGCACTGAATTCAATTCCAAAGAGGCTATTGGTGGAGTCTCCAAAATGGCATCCTCACCTTCAGGGTCTTATAAAAGAGCTCGAGCCATTAACAACGGAACCGTGACAGTGTCATGCCTTGTTGATGGGTGCAATTCAGATCTTACTAATTGTAGAGATTATCATAGGCGCCATAAGGTCTGTGAACTCCATTCCAAGACTCCAGAGGTCACAATTGGTGGCCTGAAGCAAAGGTTCTGCCAACAATGTAGTAGGTGTGTCTCATATCATATAATATGAGTTTGTTTTTCTTTAGTTTGAAATTAAGTTACTTATTTGTGTTCTATATTGCTTGTAATTAACTTCTCCTCTTAATTAATGTTTTTCTCCCCCCTTTTCTTTACGTTCTACTTGATAGACATCTAACTTTTGTCATTTACTTCCTTGTCTATTATTCATTTTAGCTTCACCAAGTGCTCTTGCTTGCTTTTTGCTACCCTTAGCATCTTAATTTAACTTTCATTAGAAGAGATGTAAACAAAAATCATAAACCAAAAAGAATCTCAACACATACGATACCTATTTCCACTTCAAAATTTGACCCGATCACATCAGTCTCTTCTCAAAAAAATACAAGTTTTTGGTTACTTCAGTTTACAAATAGTGCTCTATAATTCTAAATCCTTGTGTTTGTGTTTATACTCAATGAATGGTACATTCTTAAACCTGCCATATGGAGAAGCTGAAAGTATCTGAGAGTACATTGCCTGTACTTGTGATGAATCCGTAGTAAATTATTTTCACTTCCTCGTTTCATGTGCAATTTGATTTTATTTGCTTGATTCCATGTCATGTTGCCGTGATATCTTGTGAGCCTGAAGTTCCTTAAATCCTGATCTTTCCTATTTGTAGGTTCCATTCGCTGGAGCAATTTGATGAAAGAAAAAGAAGCTGCAGGAAACGTTTAGATGGACATAACCGAAGGAGAAGAAAGCCTCAACCTGAACCTCTCCCACGACCTGGTAGTTATTTGTCCAATTACCAAGGTTAGCTTCTAGTTCTAGCACATTATCTTAGTGGACCCATATGCATAGATTTGATGTATGCATTTGCTGAAGATCCCCACATTGATACAGAAATCTCATAAGAGTAAGAAATTTCATGTGAAAACCATGCACTTAGCTAGCTAGACAAGTGCGCTGCCAATGTACCTGATGACTGACTTGGTCCATTTATGTTCACGTTCATGACAATCTAGTGGCCACTAAAATAATATGTCAGTGCATAGACCAAAAAAAAAAAAAAAAGGAGTTTGGTTTTGAGAAGGGAGCCTAGATTACCGTTTATAAGAAATTATATATTGCTTACTTCATTTATACGAGTGTAACACTTTATTCTTAAGCTCATTCTTATCATTGATTCACTTGTATAAGTATTCATGCTCATGTAACTACAAAATTAGAGCCACTAAATATAAGCGGTAGCAATGACAATGTAACTTACACATGTGGAAATTGATGTTATTCTTAGAATTTTTCTTCTACTTTTCTCAGGCACCCAGTTGCTACCATTCTCAAGTCCACAAGTATATCCTTCCACTGCCATGGTGAACTCTGCTTGGAGTGGTGGACTTGTTACTTCTTGTGCAGATGCTAGGCTGCACAACCACAACCATCAGCAACAAGTGCATTTGGCTGATAAGCAAGATCTTTTTCTTGGATGTTCTCCTATCAGCTATAAAGAAGGGAAGCAACTTGCATTCTTGCATGGTGAGAATCCCTCCATGGCCACACTCAACAACCAAAACTCACCTCTTGCAGCAGCTTCTGTGTGTCAGAGGTTTCTCAGGATCAGCCCTTTGTCAGAAAGTGGTGGGGTGAGAAACAAAATGTTCTGTGATAGCTTAACAACTTCAGTCCATGAATCACCTTGTGCTCTCTCTCTTCTGTCATCATCACAGACACACACACCTGAAAATGGTTTAAACCAAATGGTGCAGCCTCACTCAATGTCCTTTATGCAGCCCTTAGGCTTGACCCTGCATGATAACAACTTAGAGTCCATGGACCGAGTCTTGGTTCCCAGTGGGGGTGACCATTGTTCCTCAATGTATAACATTGGTTCTGATGGATCACAGGGCAATGAAGCCCCTCAACTATTTCCCTTTCAATGGGAATAGAGAATTTTCTCAAAGGATTCACCTTTTGTTCATGTGAATGATTTATTTCCCCACGGACTATTTAATTATGATTTTTTTTTTTTTTTTTTCACTTTAATGAAAGTAATGGACCATCGTGAAATTTCTATCTGTGTCTTTAGGAAAGGAAAAACTAAAACAATTTTACATATGATTCGAAATGGGAATTATATAATATTACTGGAGAATTGGAGTTTTAAAAGAAACAACCGTATAATTTCTTTTAGCATATATATGATGGGGAGCTGTATAAGAAAAACCACATACTTCATCGAATAAATTGCATCCATCCTTAACAAAAGAAAGATACTTATGTTTTAGAACTTTAATTTGTTTTAAGAAAAAAACATTCTCAAGTGATGGCATTTGAAATACCATGTTTCAATAGAATTCGGTTAAGATTTGTTGAAGAGCTTAAGTAATGGGAAATAATAACTAACTTTATTTTTTTTTTTTGGTTGAAAGCTCTCAGAAAGTTATGAGAAAATTCATTATTCTGTCAAGATAAACTAATCCAATTATGCTTTTCATCGCTGTTTTAAAACTCGGACCGGTCGAGGTACTAGGTACTGGTTCAACTGGGTTCAACCGAATTTACTGTTCACATATTAAAAATATAAAAATATTACTTATATTAATAAAAATTCACATAAGAAAATTATCAGTGAGCTTTAAAAAATAAATTGATTTTCAATGATAGCAAATATTATATACTTCTAAGCTTCTAGCTCTAGACCATATCCTAATATTGGATTAAAATTGCAATATAAATGCACCTTTTGTGCTTGACATGATACAGATAAATTAAATCATGATAACAAATAGTATGCATGAAATATACACTAAAAAAAAAGTGTCCACCGTTAAGATGAGATCATGAGACCATCAGTGTTTATCACCACTTAACTCCATGATATCATTATAAGATGCAACTAAATTACATAAACAAACTGCACTAATATAAAATACCTTATTATTCTCACCTTACTTTTAATCATATTCATCATAAAATATGAATATGATTTAATTCAAGAGTTCTTATCAATAAAAAAAAAATTTACCAAAAAAAAGAAGAAATAAAGTGTCTAACCCGGGTCGCCGAGTTTCGGCCAAGTCAACCGGTCCAATTCGGATTGACTGCAGAAGCGGTTCAACTACCCACTCGGACCGGGGAACCCACCGGGTCACCGAGTCCCGGGTGGACCCGGTCGGTCTGAGCCGGATTTTAAAACACTGCTTTTAACCATGTATTCTAAAAGTAGCAATTTAAAAATTAAAAAAGAAGTCACCATTAATTTTTATAAAATTGAGAAAAATTTCAAAACACAAAGACTCAAACTCTTCCCCGCTTCTGAGAATGGTACCCATAGACTAAAATTCAATATAGTGATTAAATCTTTTTGGAGCCTTTGTCCCAAGTTAGTTCCAAACCCTTCAATACACCCCATAATTCCACTTTATTAGCATTGCACACACCAATCTCCCGGTGCTTTAAAACTCCCCCTGTTAAAATGTTCATTGAATCTCGTACGCTGATAGAATATCTATCAGGTCCTTGGAAATTTATGTGGGAATCATATGCCATTGGCGTGCGGTGTCAAGCCATTCTCAATTCCTGTTGTCCTCCTAGAATAGGTACCGATAATAATCCCTAGCCATAGACATTAGTCGGATAGGGTCTATAATCCACTGATTAGCATCATTGCTGAAGTTTCTACGGATTATATATACTCTTTAGGTAGAACCTTGTGTTTCGATCCCATCTATCAACCATTGGTGCTGAGATTTCTAAAACCTCATAAATTTCTTCCTGTTCTAGTGCCAATTCGAGTTGGTGGTGCAACTTATTTTCATATCATTCAAGTTTCTTAGAGTCCGTTTGTTTCGCCTTCCATAAAAAGTAGTTTTTATCTCTTCTTTATTTTAAAAGTGTTTTTTTACGAAAGTTAAAGCTATTTATATTTTTATAAAAATATTTAGTTTTTGAAAAAAATATTTGGCTTTTGACTTCTACTTTTTTTAAAAGTTAAAACTTTTAGCTTCTAAAAAAGAGAGTAAATTTTTACTTTTTTTGTGACTTCTGCTTTTTTCAAAAATAGACATCCAACATCAACATCAACATCAACAACACCTTTATCCCAAATTAATTGGGGTCGGTGGTAGATGAACCCACATGAAAGATACAAAACGGTTGAAAAAAAGTTAAAAAAAATAAAAAATAAAAAAAAGTAAAAAAGTAAAAAAGCCAAAAATAAATAAATAAAAATAAACAAATAAAATAAGATAAAATAAAATAACAATATATGTATATATAAATAAATAAAAGTAAAAAAGAAAGGGACAAGAAGAAGTGGGGGAAATGAAGGGGAAAAGGACTAAAAAGGGACCATCTGGAACATAGGAATAACAGCGGGTCTAACCCTCCACCATACTTATAGCTTTTCTCCATTCCGTTCTAAGACATACTGTCCGCCAATCTATATCTCACTCCATTAAATCTTGTTTTACTACTTTCCCCCAAGTAAGCTTCGGCCTACCTCTGCCTCTTTTTGTGTTGAGCTCTTGGTAACAAACTTCTGTTCTTACAGGAGCATCCATGGGTCTTCTCATCACGTGTCCAAACCACCTCAATCTATGTCCTCTCGTCTTCTCGGCTACCGGTACTACTCCGACCTTTCGTCGAATATCTTCAATACATTTTCTTATTAAAAAAATAGACATCCAAACAAACTTAAAATAAGAAGTACTTTTTCTTATTAAAAAAAGCAGTTTTTAGAGAGAAAAAAAGTCATTGAGCACTCTTTGTTGATAGCTAGGATTACTCCAGTACATTTTTCAACTTAAGGTTATAAATGATTTCTAGAACTTTTTACAATCTCTTGAACTCTCATGAAATTGTCTATAATAAATTATTTTACCTAAAAATCTCTTAAAAATATCCTTGCGATTGGGCCAAATAACTACTAAATTCAATGGAACAAAATCAAATTAATTATTCAACATATCTAAATAAGGTAAGCTAACAAAGGATAATATGAACTATTTGTATTTAAATTTTGTGCAAATTTTTATTGGAACAAAAACTATAAGTACTTGTCATGGTCATGGCCATCAATTTTATTGTGCAGAGAGTTGGCTTAAATTTTTTAAACTTGATATTAAATCAGCACCCTGAAATTACCATGATTGACAAAGAGGAGTTTGTTAGAAAAAAGAAGCCTTACAGTGCCGTTTTTCTAGCATTGAATTTATTAATAAATTCAACGAGGAATGTCAATGGAGCAGTATCTCGTAATGCTTCACTTGCTTTCTTTTTCAATCCATACCAAAAAAGGAGTATTTATGGGTATATGCTAGTTCTTCATAGTTAAAAATAAATTTTTAAAATAATAAATAAAATTTTCTAACATGGTATACTATAATTTGTCTAATAATTTAAAGTGTTTATAGAATAAAAAAAATTAACAAATAACATTCAAAATTTAATTAATTTTTATAGTTAATCCACACAAAAAAAATGTGTTGAGATTAGGCATAGATAGAGAAAAAGCAAAAAGGACTAAATAATATTGTGCATTTATATATTATGGAGTGAATCAATTGATTGATATAATTACAAAAGACAAAGCACTAATTTCTATTTTTACTATTCCTAATATGAGGAAAAAAATGAATCATGTAAAATAAGGAAATAAAGGAACCAATAATAAGAGATCTTGCAAGATACTTTGATATAAGCTTAATATTATAATTATACAATATTATCTGAATATCATAAATATTCTAACATATCCTCAATCTAAGGCATATCAAGTTTTAAGTCTATTGCAATAAATCCTTTACAAGAAATTGTACTAGAAATAATATAGACTTTTCAATAATTTTGTTCAATATGAGCTCATCCACGAATTTTTTATATCCTAAAATAATAAGAAAATATAAAGTCTTATCATACTTTAAAGTGGAAGTAAAAGTTATAATGTGTGCAATGTATTAAATAAAAATGAAAAAAATATTTATCACGTAAGAAAAAATAAAATTATCTCTTACATTTTTAAAATGATGTTATTTTGAATGTAAGAAATTTTTTTCCCTTTTAACATAAATTTTTCAGCCATTTATTTATTTTTTCTAAACTCAAAACAACGTTGTTTCATAATTAAGAAAAAAAGAATAATGTTTCTCATATTACAGGAGATAAATTTTATTTCTTACATATATATAAAAGTATATGGGATCCATTTTTTTTCTCTTTTCCTCACATGCCCCACACACTTTTATGTGGGAAAATAAAATTAAAATATTGCAATTTAAATTAAAAAATTACCAAATTATAGCAATTTAAAACCTATCTACGAATGTGCAGTAACCAATCACGCTCAGAATATGGGCGCGACTCACATGGTGATGACACTGACGTGACTCACTTGAGGATGACACGTGAGACAATATCAGAAGGCCATAACTTTTGGCTCGGATACTCGAATCAATTTTTTTTTTAATTCTACGTAACTTTTCGAGATCTACGTGTTAGAGATATATAAAACTATTAATATAACATCATATAACAGCTTAATCTTTTGGGTTGAATTGGTTCTTTACATGGTATCAGAGCCTCGATGTTTCGGGTTTAATCATTGTCGCCCCTCATTTTCTTTGTGGAATTTCTTAGCACAAGTAGGCTGGATCTGATGTATCATCCACCTTTCAAGCCCAATGGGCTCTCTTGTGAGAGGACATGTTAGAGATATATAAAACCATTAATATAACATCATTTAACAACTTAAGCTTTTGGGTTGAATTGGTTCTTTACACTATGCACTGACAAATTCACATAATTGTGTAATCACACAACTTATTAAAGAGATTACACAAACTATCCATAATCCACAAATTTTACGTATAATGCAGAGATCCTGACAATGTACAAAATTTTGGGATACAGATAACTACTTTCTGACAAGTTAAATAAGTTTAACATAATATTTCTTGTCCATTAAAATAATGATTTAAGATTATTTGTTAGTGTTGGAAAGTAAAAATAAAAATAGAATTAAATAATGTCGTTCATAAGATAAAGTATGTCAAACG